TTTTTTATATATGGTATGAAGTAGGGGTTCAGCTCCATTCTTTTATAAGTGGATATCCAGTTGTCTAAGTGTCATTTATTAAAAAGACTATTCTCTCAGTTTGTTATTGTAGTTGCTGTTGCTGCTTATTTATTTAGTGATTTTTCTGGACTAATTCTGTAAAGTCTGTATCTTTGTCATGTGCAGCCTCTGAAATCTCTGCTCAATTTGCTTTGTGCTCAGCTAATGATTGGACAGAGATTTCCTTAAGTGTCTTGAACCCATCAGTTCCCAGACCCACACACGAGGGGCTCTGCATGTGTGTTGAGGCATACCTTCAATGCTCTGAAAGTTTGTGACTCTGTCTTTTCGCTTTCTGTTTGTGCAGAGTCTCAAGGCCAGAGGTGAGATATAACGCCCTTCTCAAGTCTTTTCTGGGTATACACACAGCATTGCACATGTGTGTGGCCTTCCAGAGGCCCAGGAATATGTCAGAGCTCTACAAAGCTTCTTGTAGACATCTTAGTCCACAGATTTTCCGTTTTAAGTTTTTGGTCACCCTCTTGTTTACCTCACTGGTATCGCAGCCTTGGACAGCTGTGATGTTAAACACTTGCCACTGATTGTTTTCCATAAACACCATGGGGACACGGCTGCTCTCGCTGAGTGAGCTCTGAGTCAGGTCAAACATAGACAGGTACTATCAGTGGGGCTTTTCCAGGGAGCTGCTAGACAGGTCAGAGAGTGACAAGTCTTTGAACATGGGGCTTTTTGAAGAGCTCCAAACCTGTACTGGTCCCTTCGGTGGTTGCTAAGCTGCTGGTTTTCACAGCTCCTGTGTTTCAAGGCTATTGTTTTTCAAGGCTACCATGGAGCTGGGGAGGGGGACTGAGAATGTTCACGTTAAAATCCCACAAAGCTCACTGTTCCTACTGAGTTTCAGCTGTTTTTCTTGAATAAACACTCCTTGGATTGTTGTAAGCCTTTGGATAATTTCCAGAGTTCTGAAAAAGTTGATTTTGACAATTTTTGCCACTGATATCATTGTTCTTGTGGAGGAATGGATTTTCGAAGATCCTTACACCACTATTTCTCTTTGTTTATTTTTAATTAGTGTTATCCCTTAGGACAGATGAGACTAGAAGCATATGAAAAGGCCTAGTGCTCAATGAAGAGTGTACACAAGGTTAAGTTGGAATGGGGGCTTTACAGAAGGAACTGGAAATAAATTTTGCCTGTTTACATTTCTTTATTTAAATTTTTAATTGTGGCAGTGTAATAAATAAATATCCATGGGAGTATACATAGGTGGAGCCTATATTCTTTTTATTTTATACAGTGTTGTGTGAAGATATGCCATTTGGTTTTCCATCCCACAGCAGATGGGGGTAGGGGGTAGCACATGTTAGAACTAGATATACTAAGACAACTTGAAGTGGGAAAGAAGATTTAAGTATGAAAAAAGAAGACATAACAATCAGTGGGTGCCAAGGTAGTGTGCTACAGAAGTGGTCCCCACCCTTTTTGGCACCAGAGACCAGTTTCATGGAAGACAATTTTTCTACAGATGGGGTTAGGGGGGAGGTGGTGCAAGAAATGGGGAGCAGCTGTAAATACAGATGAAGCTTTGCTTACTTGCCTGCCGCCCACCTCCTGCTGCCACTCACCTCCTGCTGTGTGGCCTCCAGGTTCCTAAGTTTCATGGAAGACAATTTTTCCATGGATAGAGGTGGCGGAGGGTGGAGCTCTGCAGCCCGGTCCCTAACATTCTGTGGCCCAGGGGGTGGGGATCGCAGTGCTACAGTATTCACTTTGCACAGGCTATATCTATATCAAGATAAAAATATTAATTTGTGCTCTGTACTCTTTGCTTTTCAAGACAGATAATGTCTAATATATTTTAGAAAGTTTTCTATCAAAAATCCATAAAATGTTTAAAATATGATAGTTAAAGTTATAGACCTCATTTACCTAGATCATTTATGGCTGAGTAATGCCATACATCCAAATGATATTGCTATTGGGACATTGCTATTTCATTGGTAACAAATTCTGTTGAGGAAAAAGATTCTATAATCATCCACCTTAATTCATCATGGTAGTTCCAACATCTTAAAAGCTGAGAATTTCAACAGCATATTGTCTCCATATGACGATACATGAAGAAAAGTGATTAAGCTTCTCAAAAGTAGAAAGGTGAATCACACAATACTAATACTTTTTAGCACACTCCCTGTACTAATTCCTTTAAGTTTATAAACACTAATAACGACTTACACCTACATAGAAAAATGCATTGATTTGTTGCTGAAGGTATTGTTGTTAGTTTAGTAACTGCGTAAGGTGCTAATGACTTAACTGGCTACTTCGGAATAAGCTCTAGCCAAACCTGTGTGTTTTAAAGGGACATCGTAATGATTGATCACTCAATATGTGGGCATGGAAGCATACAAAACATAGAACTGTAGACAGGATCTCAGCAGAAGTAGTAGAGCAGGAATCCTAGTGTGAATAGTGAGTGGTAATCTCAGAGGGACCATCTGTTGAAAAACCCACTCTCAATGTGGATACCATTAGCTGACATCATCATAGCTAGTTTGATGAAAACATCTCAGAAATCAAGGAGCCACTTATAACAGAAAAAAGTGAAGCTGCAGAAGTTTACTGTTCCATGTAGCATAGATAAAAGAACCACTTTTAAATGTCTGCATCGTGTCATGCAAATTATTAAAAAACCTACATTACAGGTGGTAGTCTACAAAGGCTGAGAAGATTTAGGGTTCTTAAGACGACCATCAAATCAAGGGCTATTGTGCAGGGCTGAAGAACACATATGGATTAGCATCTTCTACAAAAAGTCTTTCCGAGAAAAGAGTGGAGGAGAATTTCTAGAGGATTTTCAGCTGGTTCTGAGTATTAAGTAGGGAATACATTACAAGGTATGTAGCTGCAAACAGAGTATGTATCTGCGTTCTAGGGAATGGCTACCGTGTGAGTATTTACAGATGTTTTTTTCCGAAAAACTTTTTTTCAACATATTCTTTGAGTCAAGTCCAGTATACTAAAGATGAAGAAAATATTTAAGATGACTGGACTCCATTTGAGTCCATTACATGTCCTTTCTTAGAGAAGGATTGATGTGGTGATGTCCTGGATAAAAATGTAAATTCTATCTATGACTTTCACATACATAGATATTTCTATAAATTTCCTATAAGAACTTTTCAATAGTGTTTAAAAAGGTAGTTATTATAATACAGGGTCTAATACATATGTAATTAGGCATCTTGATATTAAAAATGTGTCGTTTCTTTATTGCAGTGTCCTGGCAGGTTACAATGGCACCATCTTTGCATATGGGCAAACCAGCAGTGGTAAGACATTCACTATCACAGGTGGGGCAGAGCGTTACAGCGACAGAGGCATTATCCCAAGGACACTGTCGTACATTTTTGAGCAGTTACAAAAGGTATGAAACTAAGTCCATTTTGTATTTGATATATTCAGCAAAAATTTACTGTGGGCAGAAAATTTATTGTGACATTTTATTATATTGTATCTAAATGAGAAAGTATTATTGTGTAATAACTCTGGCCTTTGCCTTTAAAGAAAGGCTAGGGTTTTGCTGGAGAAGTGGAAATTAAGAAGGTACTTCTCATTAAAGGGCTGCAATTTCAACAAAGACTCAAAGAGAGTTCCTTCTGATACCCCTACGGAGGTTCAAAGAGCA